ATTCTCCTTGCGGCTTGATATCCAGCAGGAGGCGTGCAGGGGAGCCAATCAGTGATTCTTTGTCATCATTGACATTTCTATCCCTCTCCCTCTCCCTTACCCTCTGAAATCAATAAAAATATATTAAAAACATGTATATACATATATTCATAGCCCATGGACACAGACAATAATGTGGTAAGCTCCTACAAGCAATGGGGGCAGGATAGAGGGAGGCAAAGGGGAAGCGGGCAGAGAGAACATGGGGACATCTGTAATTGATTCAAAAATTAAAAACAATAGTGCACCCGGCAGGTGTGGCTCAATCAATGGGTTTGGACCCATGAAGCAAGAGATCACTGGTTCGAGTCCTGGTAGGGCACATGCCCAGTTGGGGGCTTGATTCCAGTAGGGGGTATGCAGGAGGCAGCTGATCAATGATTCTCATCTTTGATGTTTCTCCCTCTTCCTCTCCAAGAAACAATTAAAAATATTTTTTTTAAAAAGGAATAGTGTTAAGATTGAATTGACTCACCCTAGCTAGTTTGGCTCAGTGGATAGAGCACCAGCCTGTGGACCGAAGGGTCCTGAGTTTGATTCTGGTCAAGGGCATGTGTGTGGGTATCAGGTTAGATCCCAGGCCCTGGTTAGCACAACTGTGGGAGTCAACCAGTTAATGTGTCTCTCTCACATGGATTTTTTTAAAGTATATTTTTATTGATTTCAGAGAGGAAGGGTGAGGGAGATACAAACATCCTTGATGAGAGAAAATCATTAAATTGGATCCCTCCCTCACACCCCCTACTGGGAATGGATCCCACAACCAGGGCATGTGCCCTCCACAGGAATTGAACCCGGGACCCTTCAATCTACAGGCCAATGCTCTACCCACTGAGCCAAACCAGTTAAGGCTCATGGATGTTTTACAAAGAGAAAAAGAAAAACAAGATTGAATTGACTCAACAACACCAAAGTGAGTGTGGGCCATCAGGTTTTCTCCCAAACCATGTAAGCAAAACCATGCCTTGGTCTGTCTTTATAGAGGGTGTCCCAGGCATAACTGTGGGAAAAGGAAACAGCCTGGAGGGGTTGGCCTCAGGTTGCCCTGTAGTGTTTGATTTTTGACTTCATGAAGAAAAGATTGCACAGCATGAGTTCAGAAGATTTTGAGAGTATGTTTATTGAAGCTGGGGATAGTGAAAACAGGTAGGTATCAGGATGGAATGAGCAAAAGCAAAGCAGGGCTCCTATGGCTCTAGGAACATTGTGGGAAATAAGGGAGCCAAAGCGGGGCTGCGGTTAGCTCACTGGACATTCAGAGAAAAGGTGGCCTTGAGTGCAGTTTCAGGGGCTCAGGGATGAGCTGCTGCTGCTCATTGCTGCTCTGGTTGCAGGTCAGGTGGGGACCCTTAAAAGTTTAGGTGACCCAGCTGGCGTGGCTCAGTGGTTGAGCACTGACCTATGAACCAGGAGGTCATGGTTCAATTCCCTTTCAGGACACATGCCTAGGTTGCATGGTCAATTCCCAGTGGGGTAGGGGGAAATAGAAGATGCAGTTAATCAGTGATTCTCTCTCATCATCAATGTTTCTATCTCTTCCTCTCCTTTCCCCTCTGAAGTCAATAAAAATATATTTTTAAAAATAAAGTATTTTTGAAATATACAGCTTTACTTTGTTCATTTTTTTATAGATTGCACACTAATGTTCTATCAAATTGTTTGTTTTTTAGGCAGTTGACTGGTGGAGTTCAGGTGTTCTAATGTATGAACTATTCACAGTCGATGGGGAGAAGAATTCCTGATCTGAGCTCTCTAGTTGAGTCTTCCCAAAATAAAATGAATGTGTTGTTACCTAAAAGGAATGAATCACATTTCTGTAATTAGGCTGATGGGGAAAAAAATTTAGAAATGTGGATAGACAATAATAGAATTAAGTGGTTAATTTTTTAAAAAATATATTTTATTGTTTTTTTACAGAGAGGAAGGAAGAGGGATAGAGAGCCAGAAACATCGATGAGAGAGAAACATCAATCGGCTGCCTCCTGCACACTCCCTACCGGGGATGTGCCCGCAACCAAGGTACATGTGCCCTTGAGTGGAATCGAACCCGGGACCCTTGAGTTCGCAGGCCAATGCTCTATCCACTGAGCCAAACTGGCCAAGGCTAAGTGGTTACTTTTCATTTATAATCATATAGGAACTGTGTGTTGAACAAAAGCTCACCTAAACAGACATTTATTTCCAGGACCCACATCAGTGGAGCGACTGTGGAACTGAGAGGAATAGACTCAGCTCTCAAACCCAGTACAGACTCTTAGCCCCATCCCTTCCATCCAAGTCCCATACCTGTCAACAGGTGCACTCCTCCCACCAGACCAGACTGTACCATCAGACACTGACAAAACGTGTACAAGATTGGGGCAGTTTGCGGTTTATGTTGTGTTCTCCTCTGATTTTCCACTATGGGGTTGGTGGTTCTGCCAATACAGTGACCTGCTGATGACAGTCACTTGCTTAGCTCAGCGGCTTGAGTGGGCACCACTTAAAGCCCTCAAAACAGACAGGGCCTGCCCAGCCAGTGCTGATGCCAGGTTGTGGGCTCCATCCCCAGGTGTTGCCTGTGGGAGGCAGCGAATCCATGATTCTCTCTCATTGATGTTTCTATCTCTCCCTCTTCCTTCTACTCTGAGAAAAATAAAATTTTATGTGTGTGTGTGTGTGTGTGTGTGTGTGTGTGTGTATTTATTTAGAAAAATAGATAGGCGTGACTGCTGTGTTGCTTTTCTCTGAGGAGGGATGTAGGTGGATGTCTGTTGCAAAAAGGGTCTCTGCTGGTGTTTAGGGTGTCAGTTGAGCTGAGATTTGGGAGTCCATACGGGCTTTCTGAGGCAAGTTAAACCTGATGAGGGGCCACAGAGCTGCCTGGCATAATATCACTTGCTTTACAGCCCTGTGCTATGGGTCACTTTGCTCACACACCACTCAGAGTCCTCAGGTGTCTTCATCACATTCTAGGTCACTGGGTCAGCATGTCTTTTAGTGGCTGTAGATCTCCCGGCTGGGCCATGTGTTGGAGTCATTTCTGTGAAGCTGTGTTTTTAGAAGTGAGCAGTGCACGGGGGTCCTTCATCTTAAGGGAATGAGGGTAGATGCATAGGAACAGAGCCTGCCCAGAGGGTGCCCTGGGGCGCATCCTCACCCCTCCCCTCTTCCTGAACTAGGACCATGAACACCTCCCAGAAGTGCCTGGAGGAACTGCTAGGGGAGAACATGGCCCTTGAGGTTTCACAGGTCCAGAGGATGAACCAGCCCCACAATCTGAGCTGGGAGCTGGAGCAGCTGCCAGATTGTAGGCAGCAGCCCCTGGTGCCTGGGAGCCAGCCTGGCTGCAGCTTCTCCCTCAACAAGGGAGCTGAGCCCTTCGCTCTGTATCTCCTGGGTCAGCCCATCCTCACCCAAGTCAATAGGGTTTTATTAAGGGGCCATTTGGGACTGTTCCATTGCCATTCTCCCCAAGGAGAACATGAATGGTCTGGCAGCCTTGAAGTCAAGACGTGAACTACAAAGTTAGTGTTGCCAGTTTTCTCAGCTCCCATGTAGATAGTCCCAGGAGCTTCCAGATGACAGCACGCTGGCACTCAGAGGATGTCTTAGATCCGTCCACAGGGGATTGAAAGCTCTGCATGGCAGGAGCCTTCCCCAGTGGTCACTGACCTCCATTATAACAGTAGCCTGGGCATGATTTCCTCCATTCCTGTCATAATCGGCCAGATGGGTGGAGTCTGCTCTCTGTCTCCCTGGGCAGGGGTTGCTAACTATCTGCTTCTCGGGCCTCTCCTTCTCCCTCTCATGTTTGGGACCCTACTAGCACCCAGTCAAGGTGTGCAGTTGGCCAGGGGAATGTGGGTGGAGTGGCAGGTGGTGTAGCAGGGAGCCTGGGCACCCAGCAAACAGGAAGCCAGGTCCTGTGCTCAGCACCAGCAGGCGTGCACCTGAGAGTGCAGGGAGGTGTTCTTAGAGCTCTGCAGAGCACAGGAGGG